CCCACTGCTGTCAGCAAGGTAAAGAAACAGTTGTTGCTTTGCTCCTACTGCTTCTAAAGAAGTTAGTCATTTTGAGAGGTATAGTGATATAGCGTTGTAGGGTTTTGTTTTTTAAATAATTGACAAGCTGGAGAGATGGCTCAACTGTTAAAAGAAAAATGACTACCGCTCTTGCAGAGCACCTGAGTTCAGTACCTAGCACCCATGCTGGGCAGCTCACAAAACTGCCTGTAATTCCAGGTCCAGGGAGGAATCAACGATTCTGGCTTTTGAAGGTACCTGGACTCTGTATACATACTCCTACACAGACTTTCACAAATACACAAGGGACTGAGGTGCACAATTTACATATCAAAGCAAGCCTGGTCTCCAGGTTCTCCCAGCATCCCTCAGTCCCTACCTTGCCGGCCCTTTCCCCAACCCTGAACTTTCCAGCCCAGGGGCGGGGTTGTCCTTTCCCCAAAGGCTCTTTCCTATATAATCCAGACATTTTGACCTCTCTCTTCTCTACCCTTCTCTGCATGACACTCTCTCTCTCTCTCTTACCCCTCTGCTCTCTCTCCCTTCCAATGGCAACTTCCAGGGCCTCTTTCCTTGGGGGCTGTGAATTTGTCCATCCGAGAGCAGCTTCTCAATAAGCCTGCCTTTAATAATTGGCTCATTTCACCGGCAGAAAAATAACTTTTAAAAATAACTTTTTAAAAAAAATTTTTTTTTAACTTGGTTATTCTGTATTTGTGTGCACATACAGAATCCAGAGAACAAATGGCAGTCAGCTCTGTCCCTATCCCAGGTGGGTCCTGGGGACCAAACTCAGATGGCTAGGTTTAGTGGCAAGCACCTATATCCGCTGAGCTATCTCACATTTATTTATTTATTTTCCATGTATTTATTTTAATTTTTGAGATGAAGTCTCATGTATTGAAAGCTGGCATCAGACTTATGTAGCCGGAGATGATCTTGAGCGTCTGTTGTTTCTGCTTCTGCCTCCCGAATGGTAGGATGCTGTTTGTGCTACTGTGTCTGGTTTCTTGGGTGATTGATATTTAACTCAGAGTCCTGTACATACTGAGCATTCTACCAACACACTACACCCCAGCTAAAATAATGTTTATTATAACATTTAAAAACTATAAACCTGTGGTGATGCATGCCTTTAATCCCAGCACTGGGGAGGCAGAGGCAAGCTAATCTCTGTGAGTTTGAGGCTAGTCTGGTCTACAGAGACAGCCAGAGCTACATGGTGAGACCCTGTCTCAAATGAGTAAATAAAATAAAAATAAACCATAAATCTGAAAAAAAAAGTCATAAGCCTGGGAGTAATTCTAATGAAAGTTGTGTAAGACTCTTACACTGAAAATTGTAAAATGCTGCCAATGTAAATGGAAAAAAAAAAAAACCCAAGAGGGAAGACTAAGCCATGTTCATAAACGCAGAGACAAAATACTGCTAAGATCTTGGTGCCCTCCAAGCTCCTCTGTAAGTTCCACGTAATCTAAATCAAATTTCCAACAGGACTCTAAAGGGATTTCGCCCTTAAGTGCAAGCTGGCCGTAACTACATGGTGAAATCTCACAGGATAGTGCCTTTATCTGTTGAGCCATCTCGTCAGTGCCATATATCTGTTTAATTTTATTTAATTAATTTACTCATTTTAATTATATCTCACAGGATGTACACTGTAGAGTCACCACGGTAACTCTACGGCGTGCTGCTATAAGGAGAGGAAACAGGCTGGTGGGATGGTAGAACCGGTTCCCAAGAACCTCACCAGGACAGCCAATGACTAAAGAGGATGGTGCTCCAGCCAGTTAGTGGGCAAGCAGTTCTTTAGAGGATGTGGAGCCAGAGGCACTGGTTAATTATATTTTAAAAATATGTGCCCATGGCCTGGAGAGATGGCTCAAGTGTGTTGTTGTTGTTTTTGGTTTTTTCGAGACAGGGTTTCTCTGTGTAGCCCTGGCTGTCCTGGAACTCACTCTGTAGACCAGGCTGGCCTCGAACTCAGAAATCCGCCTGTCTCTGCCTCCCAAGTGCTGGGATTAAAGGCATGCGCCACCACCGCCTGGCTGGCTCAAGTGTTTAAGAGCACCTACTGCTCTTCCAGAGGTCCTGAGTTCAATTCCCAGCAACCACATGGTGGCTCACAACCATCTGTAATGGGATCCGATGCCCTCTTCTGGTGTGTCTGAAGAGAGCAATGGAGATATACTCAGATGCATTAAATAAATAAACAAGCAAACAAACATTTTAAAAAATGTGGCTAGCAGTGAAAATTCCCCTCTCATTGCACCATGCATAAACATTCTTTTGAGTTAGATAGGTTGTTTTTTTTTTAAGATTTATTTATTTATTTTATGTATATGAGTGCACCATTGCTGTCTTCAGACACACCAGGAGAGGGCATCAGATCCCATTACAGATGGTTGTGAACCACCATGTGGTTGCTGGGAATTGAACTCAGGACCTCTGGAAGAGCAGTCGGTGCTCTTAACCACTGAGCCATCTCTCCAGCCCGGGTTTGTTTTTTGTTTTTGTTTTTGTTTTTGTTTTCAAATCAAGTGTGTAATAGAAAACCAGAAATTTTTCGTATTATGTGTATCTCTGTTCACACATTTATGCTGTGGTGTGTGCAGGCACGTGTAGAGGCCAGAGACGAATGTAGAGTGTCTTCCCCCTATTTCTTCTCAACCAGGGATTGAACCAGGGCCTCGAACGGCTACACAAGTGCCATGCACTGAGCGCCTTCCTCGGCCCTCTTTGCATTTTACTATTATGATCATTTTTGAAGACAGGGTCTTATGCACCCCACACTGACCTCCAACTACTCCACAGCCAAGGATGAGCTCACATCCCTGATCCTCCTGCCTCAGCTTCCAGAGGGCTGGATTAACAGGTGTGCAGCACCACTTTCTCTGGGGTACTAGAGCTATAAGACACGGGGTATCATGCATGCTAAGTAGGTACTCTACTGATGGAGTTACATATCCAGCCCTTTCACCTACACTAGAAAGCCATTTGACAGTGTCTACATTAAATCTGTTAAAGCCGTTGCTTGGCAACTACACTCTAAGGTGTAGGGCGCACAGGAAATAGTGTGGAGGTCTAAAAAAGCAGAGACATGTGTAGCTCCACCAGACTCCTCAGAGTTTATTTAGCTATGTGTCTGTGAGAGTATATGCATACACTGGTTGCACAGATCTGTGCAGAGGCCAAAAGACGTCAGATCCCTCAGAACTGGAGTTACAAGTATTTGTGGAATTCCCAGCTTGTTCCACGGATGCTAGGACCCAAATTCCATTCCCCGTGACTTCACAAGAACCATTCTTAATCACTGAGCCATCCCACCAGCCCCCTATTCAGACCAAATGTACACCTAGTCCAAAATTGGAAGCCAGGGAAACTACCACAAATGGAAGAAAGCATAAACAAATTGTAGCGCAGGACCAAACGCGTTCCCCCTAAACAGAGCCCAGCCAGACCACTCCACCATATATTGATATGCGGAGTCTATTCCTGCTGGAGGGCATCACTGGGATTAATTAACGTTGCCAAGGGAAGTCCTTGATATTGCATAAAATAAAGTTTGTTTCGGTTCCCCTTTTATAAGAATGTTACGTTTTAGCCGGGCGGTGGTGGCGCACGCCTTTAATCCCAGCACTCGGGAGGCAGAGGCAGGCGGATTTCTGAGTTCGAGGCCAGCCTGGTCTACAGAGTGAGTTCCAGGACAGCCCGGGCTATACAGAGAAACCCTGTCTCGAAAAACCAAAAAAAAAAAAAAAAAAAAAAAAAAAAGAATGTTATGTTTTTTTTCCCCCCTGTGGCCTCAACAGCCCAAAACATTCTGCATATGGTTTGCATGTTTAATTAGTGATCCTTCTGTGTCTACAATTAGCACCGTGAAGATTAATAAAAGAACTCCTTTAAAGCTCCATTTAGCTAGCAGAAGTGCACAACCAGGTATAATTAATTCATCATGAATAAATCATGGCTGATTAACTAATCTGTTTGTTACTAACACGTTACCCGGCAGCTCCCACCTGAGCACAGCTAATTTTCCTAAGCCAGACCACGCTGGAAGCTGACACTGAACCAACTCCCGGAAAGTGCACTTTTAAGCAGCGGGTATATTGGTGCAGTCAGGGAGCTTCTGAGTTTAGATGCCATTGAGCCGCAGAGGTGACTGTCAAGGGAGCGATGGAAATGGCGGATACATCTGGAAGCCCCAGTGCAGGGTGGGTCTCACACTAACCCATCGCCTAGAGAGCTTGTTAAAACTCAAAGTACTGGCCCCAGACCGCAGAGCTCCAGACACAGGTGATCTGGAATAGGGCCCGTGATTTTGCTTTTCTAGCAAGTTCCCACCTGGTGCTGATGCTGACGGTGGGGATAGCTCTCAGGGAGTCCCTTCCCCTTTCTCTTGTGATAGGGATGACCTACAATTTCTGGGATTCCCAAATCCTTTCTATAGATTCTTTACAGGTTTGGTGTGGTTTTTGGCATCTGAAATGGGGGTCTCAGGAAGCCCGTGCTGACTTCAAATTCATTGACTGGATATCTGCAACCGGCCTTAAAATTCGGATCCTCCTGCCTCTGCCTCACTAGTGCTGGGCTTACAGGTGTGTACCGCCGCGCCTGATGAAATTCAACGGTGGTGAATTTCCACAGTCCTCACTCTCACCTTCCACCTTCTTTGAGGCTGAGTCTCTCTAGGTGTTTGCCACTGTGCTATATATGCCGAGCTAGTAGGCCTGTGAGTTTTGAGGTGGGGGGGGGGAGGATGGAGGAATAGGGGTGGGTGTGACGGGGATTCTTTCATCTTGACAAATGAATACTGAGATTCCAGCCACTTATCACTATGTCCAGCTTTTACGTGGATTACAGAGATCCACTGGCAAGGGATCATCAGACCATCTCCCAGCCCACCTAATACATCCTTTCTTCTATTTATTTTCTGAGTTTCTCCTAAGTTTTAGTGCATAAAAAAAGTGCAAAAAAAATGAAGAAAATTACTTTTATTACATTAATTTGTTCATTTTGGGTATGGATGTATAGGTGTGGGTGTGGGCATGCTATAGCACCTATGTGTACATAGGTCAGAGGACAACATGTAGGAACTGGTTCTCTGCTTCTATGGTGTGGGTCCCGGGATTCGAACTCAGACTGTCGACCTTGACAGCAAGCATTTCAGCCAGTCAGCAAGCCCCCAACACTGAAATTACATTGTCCCCCCAAGACGAACTGTTTCATTCTGCTGTCCTCACAGCCCATACAAACTCATGTAGCCCATGTCATAGTCTCTGACAATTTTCAATCTACCCGTCTTTCTTAATATTACTACATCTGGAGATGGTTTCCTGCATGTTGCTCAGGACCATACCCTGAGCCAAACAACTGCCATCTTCAGGAGTTCAGCCGTGCCCACTTGTCAAAGATCATCTGAGCTGGGCCTGGTGACTGTTTACACCTCCTCACAGAGAGATGGGAGACCACAGGGCCTCACCTGAGAATCCAGCCATTCCCTACCACCAGTGGTATGCAACTCTGCCCTAATTGCACATGGCCTCACAAGAGGCTGGAGGACATAGGCCAGCAAAGATGAGGGGAGCGGGGCTCCATCTGTGCCCCTAAAGGAAAGTCAGCATCACTGCTGCATAAAAGCCCTTCTGGTGCCACATTTTAGAAGAGTGCACCCACACCGCTGTAAGGAAGCCTTCACTTATTCTCTGTAAGTAAGCCTGATAACTCATTGGTGCCCTGGGGGAACTTTGGTAGCCGTGTAGCTTGGTTTGTCTTTGGAACCTCGGGGCCAGGGAGGAAATGTTTTTGGCAACACAACATTTCTACACAGCTATTTATTCTTCGAAAAGGCTGTGAAATACCCTAAGGTACCCACACCTGACTTGAAACGCATCATCTGGCTCCTTACAAATGCATCTCTCACTTTGATTGGCAGTCATAATCAAAAGAAGGGGCAGCCTCCGTGTCTGCTGTGGGCACTGAAGATGCACACACAGGCAGGGGCCAGAGACCGCCATCAGGAAAGGATTCTGGAGACACTGCCGCACCTCCATCAGATGTCTTCCCTTGTCTGTTCTTCACAAGAGGACTGATCCAAGCTCTGTGCATTTGCTGTTTGGTTGGGTTGGGTTGGGTTCTTGCTACAGAGAAGACACCGTGTAGAGCAGCGGCCGCAAGCCCAGCATAAGCATCTCTAAGCGGTCAGCGTGCCCTCCAAGACAATAGCAGCGCCGCCCTTCAGGTCAACTCGCCCATCAGGTCGCAGAGAAATGTCCAGCTCCCCTCCTCGGCGGGAACACTGAAAGGCTAAAGAGAACACAACCTGGTGCCAATCAAGAGCATTTCCCCTGGGATTAACCACCCAGTGCAGGATTGACTGTAACAAACCCAGGACTCCTCCCAAGCCGGTTTTCAGGATAAACCCCTCCACCGGTCCATGGCCCCTCCCACCTCCACCCCATTCTCCTGCAGCCCCAGCGGTCCACACGCAGTTGCGCACACACCTTCCTGGGCTTCTGAGAAGGCCCCCAACTTCAGCTCTGATATGAATAGAGGGAGTTTGTTTCCTCATAGTATATTAAAGCAGCTGTATGTACCAGGCCACAAAAGAGAAGACACAGCCCTAGTCTTCCAGGGGTTCAGAAAGTCATTATACTCACCCAGGAGAGAGAAAAGGAATTGTCCCTCTCAAAAGTTACATAGTAAGCTAATTATACTCTTCGATTATTTACTAAGCACTTATATCTGTGTTTGGGGAGGCAGGGATGAAAAGAGTTGGGGGTGGGGAGTCATTGAAGGGGAGATGTTACAGGGAAATTTCACATGAGTAATAATATCTTAGTACTTTTTTGTTTTGGTTTGCATTTTTTCAAGACAGGGTTTCACTGTGTAGCTCTGGTTGTCCTGGATCACATTCTGTAGATCAAGGTGGCCAAGAACTCAGAAATCAGCCTGTCTCTGCCTCTGAGTGCTGGGATTAAAGATGTGAGCCACCACCACCCATCTTGTATTATATTTTTAAGGAGCTAGTAGATATGAGAATAGATATAAGCCTAAAATGAGGCAAATAAGAAATTTGAGCTGGGTATAGTATTGCACAATCCCAGCCCCCAGAAGGTATATGCAAATTTGAGGTCAGCCTGGTCTACATAGCAAAACCTAGTCCCAAGAAGTTAAGGGATGAGGCTATGACTCTATGGTCGAACATTTGCAAAGCCTTGAATTTAATACCCAAGCATCCAAGGAGAGAGGGGTTGGGGGAGGAGGACTCATCCTACCTCGCATCTCTTTCTTCCCGAGCTGCTGGGACCAGTAACTGCTGAGAACAGTGTGTGCAGATCCTGAAAAGACAGAGAAACTCTAAGAACAAGCAAAGAAAATGGAAGTGATGTGTCCCTAATTGTGTATGTGATAAATCACTTAGCCAGTTTGACTAAACCTTAGATGATCTAATCCTTTGTCAGCTAGTAGGCCACAGCAGAGTGTGGAGTAAGGAAGTGAACATGGGAGTTTATGAATGGATTCTCTCAAAACCCCTGAACTTTTTCACAGAGGTTTTTTGAGGCGTATTTTAAGAGTTTATAAGGAAGGAGAAGGAGGAGAAAGAAAAGAAAACTGTAACTTTATTTATAACTTGCTGAAAATTCTTTAGGTGATTGTTTTAAAAACACTCTTTTCTCATCCACCAGACAAGCTTACTGAGTGTTATCGGGTATCTAAGTATGGTACCCAACATTTTGATTTTCCCAAGACTGGGTGCTAAAAGCTCATGTCCCAGAATCCCTCAATCCCACTCCACCCTAGCCAATCCAAAGACCTTAGCCATCTAGAAAACATTAAACATAAAAAAACGCACCGCTCTTTCATCCAATGATGGACTGCAGTGTGGAAGTGCAAGCTGAACAGACCCTGTCCTTTCCAGCTTGCTTTTGGTCATGGTGTTTCATCACAGCAACAGAAACCCTAACTACGGTCCCCAGGGAGAGACTCGGTGGGTTTCATGGATGCTGTGCATTTCCCTGAGTCCTAAGCAGTACTTTGCTGAGCTTCCCGCTCACGTGTTTTGTCTTCTCAGAGAACTCAGTGACGATCCCAGAGCCATCTCAGCTCCTAGTAGTTGGAGCTTCTGCCCAGTCTCCTTAAGCCCTGAACTCCATTTTCCCCAGAAGTCCCCTGCATCAAGCATTCCCACCCTCGGCTTCACAGACCACTGTTCTCAGAACAGAAGTAGAGGGAGTGACATCCCTGCCCATCTTTGATGTCTTTCCCCTGCTTCCAGCTGGTACAAGGTCTGCAAATGTTGGCTTAGGGCTCTGGGTGTGGTGTAAAATATAAAGGTCTGTGGATGTAGCTCCACAGTGGAGTGCTTGCCTAGCAAGCAAGGTGGCCCTTGGTCCTTTCCCCAGAACAAGGAGAGGGAGGAGGAGGAGGAGGAAGAAGAGAGGGAAGAAGAGGGGGAGGAGGAGGAGGAGGAGAAAGGGGGGGAAGAGGAGGAGGAGGGGGAGGAGGAGGAGAGGGAAGAGGGGGAAGAGGAGGGGAGGAGGAAGAGGGGGAGGAGGAGGAAGAGGAGGAGGAAGAGGCAGACACTGAGCGTAGTTAATGCTTATTGGGCGTTTACCATGTACCAGACACTGTATTTTGTCGTGAACATGTGCTGTGATGACCTAACCCGCTGAGGTATTGTTCACATCACAGAGAGGAGGAACTGAGACTTTTAGGGGTTGTCACCTGTCCAGGTGAAAGGGACTAGGAAGGTGGGGCTGTCAGTCACCAGGTTTCAACTGCAATGCCTCCACTATTATTATTATTATTATTATTATTATTATTATCATTTACTTTTATATTATTTATTTATTCTCTCATACATTACATTCCAATCACAGGTTCCCCTCTCTCCCCTCCCCCACAACTACCTCCCGTCTCCTCCAGATCTACGTCTGTTTCCCTTTAGAAAACAGCAGGCCTCTCAAGGAGATCACCCAAACATGGCATAACAAATTACAGAACGACTAGGCACAAACCCTCAAGGCTGGATGAGGCAACCCAGCTGGAGGAAAAGGGTCCCAAGAACAGATGAAAGAGTCTGAGACAGCCCCAACCCCCCCCCCCCCGTTTGGACTGGCATAAGAACACCAAGCTACACAGCCGTAACACATACAGAGGACCTAGCTCAGACCCAGACAAGCTCCCTGATTGTTGCTTGAGTCTCTGTGAGCCCCTAGGAGCCCTGGTTAGCTGGCTCTGTAGTTAGCTGGCTCTGTGGGCTGGGTTCTCATGGTGTCCTCGAACACTCTGGCTCTACAATCCTTCCTCTTCCTCTTTAAGGACCTTTCCACAGAAGATTTCAGTTAAGGGCGAGAGGGAGAGAAAGACAGAAAACCAAAGGCAGCCCAAGCTGCAGGGCACAACAGCATGACAGCACTGTAACCCCAGCACTTGGAAGGTAGAGGCAGGAACAGCAGGGGGCCAAAGGCATCCTTGCTTAGGTGCCAAGTCAGAGACTAACCCAGGATACATGGAACCCTCTTTCAGAGAACCAATAGTGAGGATTTGAAATGTCAGAGGAAGGCCATTTGCTTTAGTTTCTTTCCTGTTGCTGGGATAAAATACCGGGACAAGAAACAACGTGAGGAGGGAGGGGTTTACTCTAGCTCCCCGGTCAAGGTGCAGGCCTTCATGGTTGGGAAGATGGCAGGAACGTGAAGCAGCTGCTCACACCACATCCACCCTGGAAGAGAGTAGTGAATGCAGCTGCTGCTTGGCCCCTCTCTCCATTTACTCAGGGAATAGCCCGCAGTTAAGACAGGCCTTCCCACTTGAGTTAACATAATCAAGAGAAGTCCTCAGAGTCCTGCCCAGAGGCCCAGAACCATAGCACCAAGGTGTGTAGCCAGCTGTTTGTATTCCTCCTATTCCCTGATTAAATACCCCTGATCTTAAGGAAAGAGTACCTGTGACAGGGTCTTCAGCCACACCAACCCACGGCGCAAAGTATCTAGAGTAGAAGTCATACGGGGCCGTCTGCCCCCCAGACTCTCCTTTGAGGGTGAGGATGAGGCCTCTCACCTTCCCTGTCTTCTCTATTCCAGGCAGAGGCTCTGTGTTCACCTTCAGGCTCTCTAGAAAGGACCTTGAGCACAAAAGGATGGGTTAGGAATGAGCATCTCCACACCACCCACACACACACTGGGGAAGAGGCTGGACTGAGCCCAGATGGCTGAGCAGAGGGGAGGGAGAGCTGCCCTGACATCTACCCTCAGGAAAGAGTGTGGTTGGGACAAGCATGGGGGAGGGGGATGCCACTAATCCTAGCACTCTGGTGGCAGAGGATTGGCAAACTTTGAGAGTTTGAGGCTAGCCTGATCTACAGAGTCAGTTCCAGGCCAGCCTGGGCTACAGAGAAGAAGAAGAAAGAGGAAGGTGAGCCGTGCTTTGGAGACAGCACAGCCTGACCAAAGCAGAGCTGGAAGTCTGGGCACTGGCGTGTAAATGGATAAATGTGATGTTTACCTGTCATAAGAATCGCTGAGCCGGACCAGGAGTTTTCGGGTATCTGGAGAGTACCGGATGTCCTGGACTATAGTGTCACCTATGGCTGCCTGTGAAGCAGACCAAAAATGCCTCAGAGGACCAACAGGATGATTTAATGAGTGTAGGCACTTGCTGCCGAGCTTCATAACCTGAATTCAGTCACCCAAATCCAAATGCAAGTTGCCCTCTGACATCCAACCCTACACTATGGCTTGCCTAGCATGCATGGAGCACCACATAGACCAGGCAGGACCCCTGGTTCATAGTTGAGCCGGGGAGATGGCTCAGTGGGTGAAGTGCCTGCTTTGCAAGCATGAGGATCTGAGTCCCATAATCCATATTTGTAAAGCTAGGCATGTTGGGGAGACAGAGGCAGGAGGTTCCCCGGGGCTTTGCTGACTAGCTAATCCAGCCTAATCAGTGAGCTCCAGAACCATGAAAGAGCCTGCTTAAAAGGTCAGTGCTGGAGAGCTGAGTAAAATGCTTGCTGTTCAAGGATGAGGACCTGAGTTCAAATCCCCTGCACCCACATAAAAACCCAGACGTACCCACATGGACATACCTGTAAACCCTGTTGATGGGGGCTGTATCTTTTTAATCTATTCATTTATATATTTGTTTGTATATTGTGTGTATGTGTAAGTTATGTGTGTGTATTTGTGTTGTGTATAGTTGTGTGTGTATATGTGTTGTGTATGTGTGTATGCATGTGTATGTGTGTGGGCTCAAGTGTGGAGGTCAGAGGACAAGTTGTAGGAATTAGCTCTCTCCTCTTGGTACCAGGCCTAGGCTCTGGGCTGGAGAGTGATATGGTCCACTGCATGCCTTCACCTCTAAGGACTGAGATTCTTCAGTTCCCATGGCTGAGGCCCCTCTGCCTTGGTAGTGATGTCCTGTTGTGTAGCTGTTTCCTCCCAATTAAAATATTCCCTCCTGGAGAGAGGAATGAAGGTTCCTCAGACTCAAGAAGCTAAGGAAACCTAAAAAGTCCAGGAACCTCATAAAGTTACAAGGCTCGTCCCCAAGACTATAAAAGCATCAGCAGTCGATCTGGAGAGGGGACTCGTGTTGAGGTTTGGCCTGTTGCTATGTATCGTAATGCTAAACTCTCTTCCCAAAGGCCCATGAGTGACTTCTCATGTCTACCAGCTCTTACTGTGCAAACCTTGTTCCTTGATTTAAAACTATTGGTTAAATAAAATTGGCTGCAGCCAGTTACTGGAGGGATTCGAGGTAGGCGGGTTAAGAGTGACCTGGCTGGAGGAAGAGGAGGAGCTGGCCCTGAGCACATGGCCAGGAGTAACAGCAAGAATCTGGGGTACACTGCTGTGGAGGTGGACAGGTCTGCAGTCAGAAAACTGGATTTAGGGGTAACTCCCAGTAATTGTCAAAGCCAAATAAAATAACCATAGTCTGAGTCTCATTTTGTAAGGGTCCAGAAATTGCTGAAGGAAGACCCCAGACTCAGATAGCATGCAGAGACAAAGAGTGTTTATTCTGCAGGAACAACCAGCATGTGGGAGTCAACCATTCTCGAAAATGGCAACCCCAGACAAAGGCATGCAGGCCTTCTTATACAGAACTGGGAGAACTCTCTAGAAGGATTAGGTAATCTAAAATTTCATTGGTAGGTTTTTTGGGGGGCGGGAGTGGATCACAGGTGGTCAGTGGTCTGCGTTCCTATGTCATGAACGTCCATGAACTTGTGAAGGAATTTGTAAAGACAAGCAAAAAATTCCCTGCTCTCCTTGTACTTGCCTGGTCACGCCATCCCACCAGGGCTGATTTCTCCTTCCAGAGGGAATGAACAGAATCTACCCTGTCATGGCTCAAGGTGCGGAGGATAGAGTGACTAGTGCCGAATGGGAGTGAGTTCAGAATCCACCCTGTCACGGCTCAGGGTGCCGAGGATGGTGTGACTAGTGCCGAATGGGAGTGAGTTCGCTTCAAATTACTCATTACAACTGGCTACTCTTTGTTTATATGCCTCTGTGGGAAAACATGGTTTAGCCATGTGCAGCTTGTCCTTGTGATTGTACACTCTAGTCATATAACTCTTTCCTCTCTCTCTCTCTCTGTCAAGATGGGGTTTCTCTGTGTAACAGCTCTGGCTGTCCTAGAACTTACTCTGTAGACCAGGCTGGCCGTTAACTTATAGAGATCTACCTGCCTCTGCCTCCCAAGGGCTGGGATTAAAAACATGCACTCCTCCCCCAAGGTGATTCTGTCTGTCTCTCTCTCTCTCTCTCTCTCTCTCTCTCTCTCTCTCTCTCCCTCCCTCCCTCCCTCCCTCCCTCCCTCCCTCCCTCCCTCTCTCTCTCTCTCTCTCTCCCTCTCTCTCTCTCTCTCTCTTCGAGACAGGGTTTCTCTATATAGCCCTGGCTGTCCTGGAACTCACTCTGTAGACCAGGCTGGCTTCAAACTTAGAAATCCACCTGCCTCTCCTCCCAAGTGCTGGGATTAAAGGCATGTGCCACCACTGCCCAGCCCCAAGGTGATTCTTAACCCTCAGAGTATAAACTGTCTGATGCTCTGAATAAAGTTAGCTGTTACTTGATACTTCAGTATGCCTCATTTTTAGCCCCTGTACCTCCATTCCTTCATCCTCTCTCTCTCTCACAGTCTCCCAGGTTCACAATACCAATTTGAGCCATAAACAACATCACACCAGAGCTTCCTGTTCAAACATGAACAAATGACCAAGTCACACAGGCCCTAACTGGATTCTTTTCACCCACCTTTATCAACTCTTCAATTTCATGGACATCCTGGAAGGGAACAAAGATAAAGTCATTGCTGAACAGGAGAGGTGGGGGACTAAACGCAGTCTGTGACATTACTGCACATGTCATCATTCTGTGAGAGTGATGAGGAGCTAACCTGGGCGAAGGTTGGGTAGAGAGGAAAGTCCAGGACAATCCCATCTTCTGCTCTTCTGGCCTTTAGTTCCCCGCTCAGAGTGACAAAGGTCAGGGTGCTGTTCGTGTTCTCTGGACAGAGGAGGGGTCAAAGGTCAAGAAAATAAGCTCAGTAGAGGGGACTCCCCACACTGCTGGTACACAGACTCAATGCAAGGAGCCTAAGACTGAGCTATAGACCCACCCAACATTAAATGTTTTTTAAATTTATTTTAATTTCTTTTTCAAGACAAGATCTTAACTATGAAGTCCCCACTAGCCTGGAACTCCCAATGTAGGTCAGGCTGGTTTTGAACTCACAAATATCCACCTGCTTCTATCTCTGTCGTGCTGGTGATGCATACATAGAAGCCTGACATGTCTCAGAAGATCGAGGCAGGAAGTCAGGAGCACAGGGTGTTCCACAGCTACACAGAGAATCCAGGGCAAGCCTGGGCTACATAAATACCTATCTCAAAAAACATACAGGAGCCAAGGATGGTAGCACACACCTTTAATCCCAGCTCTGAAAGTAGAAGCAGAAAATCTTTACTAGAGGCTAGCCTGGTCTACAGATTGAGTTCTAAGACAGCCAAAACTGCCTATCTCAGAAAAAATATAACGAACCAATACCAAACAAACCATGTATATACACACACATGCATAGATATAAACACACAAAAAAATTCACATTACTTATTTTGTGAAACAGCACAGCTGCAGAGGCCAGCGTGGCATGGCCACACAGGGGGACTTCACTCGCTGGCGTAAACCACCTTAGTCCAAAGCGAGAACCTTCCGAGGAGGAAAAGCCAAAGAGAAGCAAATTAGACCCAGGCAGGCTTTTCAGCCTTCAGATTTTCCTAAATCTCTTTGCTGGTGTGACTAACAGCCAGCTGTGGTCAAACAACCAGTGCAGACTAGATAGACACCCACGGGCTCCCTGCAGTTAGGTCTGGAGCAGAAACTGTAGGTTCATCAACACCCTCTTAGTCCACTTGGGTTGCTGTAGAAGAACCCCACTGGTTGGGTGACCCTTCAAAAGAAATTCTCTGTTACAGACCATCATGATGGCTTGGAGGTTCAACTTCTAGGGGCTGGCTCCTGCTAAGAGCCTTCTCACTACATCAGCGCAGGGTCCGAGGCACAGCCACAAGAGGGCGCCCAACACCCGTGTCAGAGCCATCCCACTCTGGAGATCCCTAAAGCACCCTCAAAGATGGCATTTGTCGTCTCCTGTTAGACCCAGCTACCCATATGCTGCCCTGGGGACCCATTTTCCAACAACTGCGCATAGGTGGTGGGAGACACCTTAAACTATAAATTTAGACTAAACTTCACTATACCTTCTAGACGACAAGACCCACGTGTGCTGATAACACGTAAACATCTCCCTTAAACCTCCCTCAGCGCCACCCAGGAATAAATGAAAAAGCATGCATTTACTCTGTGTGAAGCTGTCAGTCGGCTGCAGTTTCCTGATGAAAGCCGTTTCCGAGAGGTTCATTTCCCTCGCAATTTGCTGATGGGCATCTTCCTGGAGTGTCTAATTAGGAACAAACAGTTGTCAAGACTTTGGAAACACAGGCCAGACTCTCTGGCATGGCAACCTCCCTTAGCGAACAAACCAGTTTACTCTCAACTTCTGAAGTTCAAGTTACGTGCGGAGGAATTTGGGGTAACTTCATAAAGACAGCTTTTCAGATTCTGTACAAGTGAAAACCTACAGCATCAGGCCAGCTTCCTATGCATGCCACTGTATTATCAAGTAAAAAAATCTCAGGCTTTTTTTTTTAAGATACATACACACACACACACACACACACACACACACACACACACACACACACATACTGTAGCTATCTTCAGACACACCAAACCAGAAGAGGGCATCAGACCCCATTACAGATGGTTATGAGCCACCATGTGGTTGCTGGGAATTGAACTCAGGACCTCTGGAAGAGCAGTCAGTACTCTTAACCACTGAGCCATTTTTCCAACCCTTTTTAATTTTTTTTTTAATTCTCTTTGTCCAACCACAGGGTTTCACAAATGCTGGCTAAGCTCTGTCATTGGGCAATGGTCATGGGCATTTATCTATTTATTTGTTTTCCTTTGTATACTAGTTATAAGATGTTCGGGTTGGTCTCCAGCTTGTAATTTTTTTATGCAGCATGGCTGGATCCTATGGAGGCATTCTCTCTCTCTCTCTCTCTCTCTCTCTCTCTCTCTCTCCCTCCCTCCCTCCCTCCCTCCCTCCCTCCCTCTTTATTTTGTCTGCATTGGTGTTTTGATTACAGTTATGTCTATGTCAGATCCCCTGGAACAGGAGTTGCAGACAGTTGTGAGCTGCCACGTGGGTGCTGGGAATAGAACCCTGGTCCTCTGGAAGAATAGACCATGCTCCTAACTGCTGAGCCATCTTCTCCAGTCCATTCAACTTATGATTCTTCTACCTCTTGAGTGGCTCGGATTGGAGGCTTGCTTTATGGTTTTTTGAGCTGGGATCTCACTGTAAGACCTGAATTGTTCTGGGACTCACTATGTAGCCCAAGCTATCCCCATATGCACTAATTCATATTCTTCTTCCTCAGTAGGTAGGCCAGGATATCCCCATATGTACTCATAACCCTCTTCCACAGTCTCCTAAGTGCTGAGATTTCAGGTGTGCGCCATCATCCCCACCTATTGTCTTTCTCAAGTTTACATTTTTATTTTTTGTGCCCTGGTGTTTTGCCTGTATGTATGTCTCAGTGAGGATGTCGGATGCCCTGGAACTGGAGTGACAGACAGTAGCAAGCTGTCAGGTGGGGGCTGAGAATTGAACCCAAGTCCATTGGAAGAACAGCCAGTTCTTTTAACCTTTTATGGGAGGGAAGCGGGGTGTGTGTGCTTGAATACCACCATGCCCATGTGGAGGTCAGAAGGGAGGCCATCCGACTTAGCAGCAAGTAGTTTTACTCAAGGGAACCATCTTAAGAGCCCCACTGTTCTTCCTTATAAAGTTAAACACACCAGTCCTTACAAAGTGTTTCCCTAGCACGGACACATGATGGCATGTCTATGCCAACCAGTTAATTTAATATTCCGGGGCTTACACACTACAGTATGCAGTGGAGGCCAGAGGACAACCTTTCAGCTCTTGACTTCCATCTGGAGTTCCAGCTCCAGGAACTGAACTCAGGTCATCATGTCTATGCAGCAAACACCGCATTGGCTGAGCCATGTTGCTGACCCTTCAAGCAGGCAGGCAAGCAAGCAAGCAAGCAAGCACACTGAGAAGGGTGGTGCTTGTCTACAGTCCCACAGCTAGGGAGATGGAGACAGAAAGGTTAGGTTAAAATTTTACTTCCAGAGCTGAAGAGATGACTCCACGGTTAACAGTGCTGCTGTTCACTCAGAGAACCCAGAAGTGTTCCCAGTACCCGTGGAAGTTGCCTCAGAATCACCTGTAGCTCCAGAGGGTCTGACTCTCTCTTCTGGTCCCCACAGCCACACTAGTGGCATAACCCACATGCACAAAAACACATGAAGGAAAAAATACAGTTGTAGCATTTTATATAAGCAGCCGAATATATTTTAATTGTTTTTTTTTTTTTAGAATTAGGGGGAGGAGTCCTTGGAGTCCAGTGTTTTCTGATGTTCATGTTCCGGAGATAAAAATGGTTTAGAGAACCGTGCAAATTTTTATTACCTGGTGAAAACAGAAAATTAAAACTCTTCAACTCTCAAGACTACTACACGGCTGCATAGAGAGAGCTTGTCCTTGTCGTGCAACCCGCCCCCACAGCTGCCAAACATGTATTTCTGATGTGGAGACAGGAGACGATGCTCACTGTGGCAGGAGTGTGGTGTGGCCAGTCACTCTTCAGCCACAGTCAGGAAGCATGGACCATCGTCTGTCTTTACTTGTTTATTAATTAAATGCATTAATTATTTATGAATTTTAAATATGTATTTAGTGAGAGAGAAGGAGGAAGGAGAGAATAGGCATAGGTACGGAGGTCAAAGGACAATTTTCTAGTGAAAGTCAAAACAGAAGGCAGGGCGCTCTTGTTTCTGCTGCCTCACTGCGCATGGTCCAGGTTGACTGGCCTGCAAGCTTCCAGATGATTCTCTGGTCTCCCGCTCCCCTATTACTGTGAGGATGCTGGGATTCCAGGCGTCTTTGATGTAGACATTGGGAATTGGACCCTGGTGAACTGATTATGTGTGGCTTCCCCACTTCACCCATCCCCGTTTTCTCCTTTCATGCAAAGATTCCCACGCGTGCAACTCTACTGTCCAACGTCCACACAGCTTGGCCCTGGAAACCTGACTGGGGAGGTGAGGGAAAGAAGAAATGGAAGAATACACGTACAGAAGATCTGAGACCCGTGGGCTGCGCTCGCTCTGACGGAGGACACCTCCTACTCAATCCGGAAGTTTCCTATGATCATCCTGTACAGCAGGGGAGGAGAGGCCAGCTAGTGTGAGCATCACAGCTCTGCAGGGAAGAGTCTAATATGTGACCAAACCAGAGGAGGAAGCAGCACTCCCCACACTCTGTCAACATCCGCACACAGACCAGGGGGAAGCTTTGCCACTCCCCTGAGCCTCACCCAAAGACCGATTTCTCCGAGCACGGTGGTCCCTGACCTGGCTCTCCTCACATCACAGGATGCCCGCTCACACAGGACTTCCTAGACTTCATCCACTGCCCACAGTGCTGTCAACACTTAGGGTGGGTCTTTCCAATTCAAGTAACCTCATCTGAGACCTCCCTCACAGAAGAAGTGTCACGAGATGTGTCACCAAGGCCACTCTAGTGCCTGTCAAGCTGATATTATAAAATGTCATAGGAAGGTCCCTGCTTCCTACTATCCAGGAAATGAGACAACATTCGCCCAGAAGGCCAAGGAATATTGAATTATTATTCTAATTATTATATTTAGCAATTATTCTAATAAAAAAAACCTCACTGGCAATCATTGTAATCTAAGAATTATATGATTTTTTTTTCATTTAAGTTCAGCTAACACATTTATGTGGGGGCCATGGCACACGTGTGATGCCAGGGGACAACTTGGCAGGAGGAGGTTGTCTTGCATCCACTATGTGGCTCCCAGGAATTGACCTCTGGTCTTCAGGCTTGGTGCCAAGGACCTTTACCTGGTAAGCCAACTGGGAGCTGCAAAAGAGCTATTTACAAAAGGAAGATTTTTGGCAAACTAACTTTCCCAGAGACTAGAGATCAACTCCTTGCTTCTCCTTAAGTGTTTGGAGGTGCCTTATTTTCTCGATCCTAAAGCGATTTTTAAGACATTTTGATGATTATTTGATGAGAGAGAATGAATGTCTGTGTGTCTGTCAATACACTTAGTGTGGAGACTTTGGAGATTAGGAGACAGAAAGAGACAGACAGACAGAGAGACAGAGACAGACAGAAAGAGACAGAGAGAGAGAGAGACAGACACAGAGACAGAGAGACAGAGACAGACAGAGAGATCCCATGTATGTTTGTGTGTGTGGATTTGTATACATGACAGTCCCCTCAGAGGTCAGAAGAGAGTGTCAGCTCTCCAGGAGCTGGAGTCACAAGCAGTTGTAAGTGTCCCACATGGGTGTCAGGAATTGGAACTTAAACCCTCTGCAAGAGCAGTAGCCAATCTTAAACAATGAGCCTTCAGCCGGGAAAGAGCACTTCTAAATGTCCAGGGAATAGAGAAGGTTAAAGCCAGGGATGACGGCATGCAGCTGTAACTGGGGCACTGAGGAGGCTAACACAGATGGAGTCTGAGGAGAGCTCTAGCTACACAGAGAGTTTCAGGCCAGACTGGGTTGCAAATCTCAACCTTGCTTCAGTCCTTCCCCAACCCCTATGAGAGAGCCCCTAAAGTAAGATTCAAAGGCTGCACTCTGGTGGCTAGAAGGAACCTGTCCCCCTACGTTTTTATGTTTATTTGCTTATTTATTTTTTATTTTGTAAGATGGGTCTCTTCACATAGCCCAGCCTGGCCTAGGACCTGCTATATATATATAGCCCAGACTGGCCTCAGACTCATGATCTCCTGCCTTCTCCTTTGGAACACCAGAGTTACAGGCATGAGCCCCCTACTCCCAGCTGCTGCCGGGTCCCCTGCCTGGGAGTCTCTGTGGGTCTGACTCTATCTACGTACAGCCATTCCTCTCCTAACCTGACGTCATGGCCATCAGCAATGTGACACAGAACACCAGGCAACGTGACGAACACGCAGGACGGTCTCACTTCTTTTACAGATGTCAAGGGCTCTACACACATCTGGACTTTCAGACATGGGCACTTGAGAATCATGTACTCACGCTCTCCAGCAGGCAGACTGCAGCAGGATTGCCCCGGAAAGCTGTCGCTGTGAACGCATCTGCTATAAAGATCGGGAGCTTCATTTTCCTCGCTGGCTGTCCAGGAGCTCCCCGGCCTGCTGCAAGCCCGCTTCACTTCCTGTTGTTGAAAAAAAAAAGTTAAAGTTTTACTGATGCACACATGCAGTTCATGGTTCCCAGACTGAAAGCCTGATATGATTGTGCTGATATGATTACCTTTAGAGATGTTAATCCTCTAACATTTTTTAGTTGTATTGAATGACCTTTGACCTCTGCAGAGTATCTCAGTGCTGGCCATGTAAGCACTTGCTTGGCACAAACAAAGCCCCAGATCTATTTCCCCACTGGCCCTTAAACAGGGCACGATGTCAAACATCTGTGATCCCTGCAGAGTGAAGCATCGGCAGGAGGAACAGAAAGGCTCACAGCCATCCACTGCTACACAGGGAGTTCCAGGCCAACCTGGGATACACGAGACCCCGTCTCAAAGCAGTAAGAATTTACCAACTTACACAGTCTATGAATGTTTACTGTGTTTATTAATCTGACAGGTAGAAAGGAATCACTGAGTTTTCATCAGCAGGAAACATCACATCATCTTCTTCTTAATTTTTTTTTTTTTCTAAACACAGGGTCTTAGTATGCCACCTTCATTAGACTGGATCTTTTTTTTTTTTTTTAAACTTTATTTATTTATTATAAGTACACTGTAGCTGTCTTCAGACACCCCACAAGAGGGCATCAGATCTCATTGCAGATGGTTGTGAGCCACCATGTGGTTGCTGGGATTTGAACTCATGACCTCTGGAAGAACAGTCAGTGCTCTTAACCACTGAGCCATCTCACCAGCCCTAGACTGGATCTTAAGGCTGGCCTTGAACTCAGAGATCTGGCTGCCTCTTCCTCCCCGGTCCTGGGATTAAAGTCTTGTGCCACCACAACCAGCTTACCTTTTCTCCTTTCGAATTCACATAGCTGCTAGCAGAGCCCCTGGCACACAATATCTATGAAAATGATTTAAGAAGTAATTACTGGGTGCACGTCCAGCTGGAGCGTGGAGGACGAACAGGAGGGTTTGTTGTCGAGTGTCATCTGTCAAGACGCTGTTCCATCAACCGCAGAGTTGTTTTTTTCTCACCACTTGTTTCAGGTGGTTTATGGGATTGTTTAGAGATTTCATTGTAAATCTCGATTGTTCTATCAGATAGCACGAGTCAGCACAGAGAAGAACAAAGCCCCTATTCTGACATGCGGTTTCCTTTTGCACCGCTGGAAGGGAGCCCAGGCCACCCACGTGACTGGCAAATGTTCTAGCTAATCTTGTTTACCTGTTATGTGGGACCGGGATCTCGCCACGTTGACCTTGTTGACCTTGTCCTCTCTGTGGAACCTACACAAGCCCCCAGCCTGCAGTCCTCTTCCCTCAGCCTCCTGAAAAGCTGGAATTACAGGCTTCTGTCCCCATACCCGGCCGTGGTCTCACAAGCACAATATGGACGCTTGTGAGCCAGGCTAGTGGCACAGGAGTCTGGAGACTGCAACAGGAGAGCAGCCATGAGTTCAAGGCCAGCCTCGGGACATGTAAAAGTAACTTTTATTCACCTGTTGTAATTGTCATCTCTGAGGCTTACTGCCCACGTCTGCTAACCTAGGCCTAGTCCTGGAAGCTTCTAGCCTCCGTACAATGTAATCTAGGCCTAGAATGTTTTCACCCTCTGAGACTTGCTTCTGAATAAGTTCACACTTTTCTTGTTCTTCCTGAATTCTAGCTGGCTGGTTCCACTCAGCTGTTCTGGCTCAAACTCCTCTCCCACCTGACTGATTCAGTCTGACTTCTTTCTCAAGTCTCTGATTTTTTTTTTTCTCCTTTTGGTGTCAAACTAACTCTGTTTTAATCTTCTGGCTTCTTCTCATTCTCTTGCTCGTTCTGTCTTTACTTGTGTCTAGCTTGTGCTCTCTTCAGTCTGTCTCTGTAAAACTCTCCCAGTAAAACTGCCTCTTTCTCATCTCTTGGCTGCTCCCCACTAACTCCACTGTATTCCTGGAGTGTACTCTCTTCCTCCTGTACTGTTTGTCTCTCCCTTACGTAGCTTCTCTTGAGAGCTTTTCCTCTCCTCTTGAGTGTTGGGCAATCCTCTTCTGTCAAAAGTTTCTCTGATTCGTCACTTTTTCTGTCATTCAAATGGGCATCACCTTCAAACAGGGGTGCTTCCTTCTGCAAAGGTTGCCTTCATTGTTTGGAATTAAATGTGTGTACGAAAGGCACGTCTGAATTCCAGACAGAGGGATTACAGGTGTGTGCTGAGTCTGAGCCACACCCTAACTAGAAACAGGTTCAAATATCCTGCAACAGGGATACCGCCATCTCAAAGAAAACTATGTTTGGTGCCGGACTGAACTTTGGCTTTATTGATTCCATCCATCAGCTTTTATTAAATGGTCCCTGAGAGGGAAAATACATGAACCCCAATAGTCAGGAGTTACAGCTGCAAGCTTCTGAAATGTCAGTTAAATAGTCTTCTGAAATTACAGGTATGTATGGTGTGTTCGTGTTTGAGTGTGTGCGTGTGTGTGTGTGTGTGTGTGTGTGTGTGTGAAGGTTTCATCTCAGTGACTTAGCATGTGTTTTAGAACACGGTGTAGCCCCTCCCAGCCCCTGAACTCCTACTGTTTTTAAGAGATGTTTTAAGCTCTGCCTCAGCTTTTGTTTGTTTGTTGAGACTGGGTCTCAAGTAGCTCAGGCTAGCTGATAACTTGCCCCGTTGAAGCTAGCCTTAAACTCCTGGTCCTCCTGCCCCTCCCTCCCAAGTGCCGAGAGTCCAGGCACATGCTGTTACATCAGGTTCAGGGCTATCTTGCTAACTGGAGGAGGAAAGCCTCCTCCAAAGGCATCCACGGGGAGTCAGAAACATAGATTCCTCCAAATTCAAAGTTCAGTTAAATCACACTTTATTTGACAAGAGAAGACTCGGGCATTGCCATTCTAAGCCACAGAGGAGGGAAAGATTTCGGCCCGTACACTCTTAGTGTGTGTTTTTATCATCACATCACCAAATAACACACATACTGTTGTGATTTCCTGGGGTTGTCCTGATTGTTGCGTCTACATGAGTTCAAAAGACAAAGGATTTGTTTCCTAAACACTAAGCTTCCTCTGAATCTTTCCACATGAGCTGACTCCCTTTGCTGCCTTCACAGTCCCGTGAATCCAATTCCACACACCCATAGTGAAGCCTCTGGAACAGTCTACTCTCCTGGTATCAGGTCTGCACTTCCACAGAGTTATTGGGTTTATTAAAAGACTGTGAGTCTGGGCATGATGGTGCATACCATTAACCTAGCGCTCGAGAGGCAGAGTTAGGCAGGTGTCAAGTTGGAGGTTAGCCTCGTCAACATAAAGAGTTTCTTCCCAGCCAGGGCTAGACAGTAAGACTCTGTCTTTAAATTAAAATTACACACACACTTGTAAAATATATCAGAAACCATTCATTTAATAGTGGAACATGCCTTTCTTTAATCCAACACCCTAGAGGCAGAGGCAGGGAGATCTCTGTGAGTTAGAGGGCAGCCTGGTCCACAGAGTTCCAGGACAACCAGGGCTACACAGAGAAACCCTGTCTCAGAGAGTAAATCTTCTATAAGGCCCCCCACACCTAAACTTCTTCTCATTGCTTATCAATGCATCTCTCACTTTGATTGGCAGTCATAATCAAAAGAAGGGGCAGCCTCCGTGTCTGCTGTGGGCACTGAAGATGCACACACAGGCAGGGGCCAGAGACCGCCATCAGGAAAGGATTCTGGAGACACTGCCGCACCTCCATCAGATGTCTTCCCTTGTCTGTTCTTCACAAGAGGACTGAACCACAAGCTCTGTGCATTTGCTGTTTGGTTGGGTTGGGTTGGGTTCTTGCTACAGAGAAGACACCGTGTAGAGCAGCGGCCGGCCGCAAGCCCAGCATAAGCATCTCTAAGCGGTCAGCGTGCCCTCCAAGACAATAGCAGCGCCTCCCTTCATGTCAACTCGCCCATCAGGTCGCAGGGAAATGTCCAGCTCCCCTCCTCGGCGGGAACACTGAAAGGCTAAAGAGAACACAACCTGGTGCCAATCAAGAGCATTTCCCCTGGGATTTACCACCCAGTGCAGGATTGACTGTAACAAACCCAGGACTCCTCCCAAGCCGGTTTTCAGGATAAACCCCTCCACGGGTCCATGGCCCCTCCCACCTCCACCCCATTCTCCTGCAGCCCCAGCGGTCCACACACAGTTGCGCACACACTGCCGGACCCTTTCCTTCTTGGGCCGCAGCTAACTCACTCCAGTACGCCACCTAAAGTTTCCTCCAGGAAGACTCAAGGATGTGTGAAGAGATGAAGGTGGAGAAGGCAAGTCTAAGATGTAGAGAGGGGGTCCTCGCCCACCCCCACCATCCCCCCCCACCGCATCCCTTCACTCACCTCTTCCACCACCCCCACCTCTTTCACACCCACCTCCCCCACCCTCACCTCTACCACCCGTTGCCTCTTCTCAGCTCCGAAAAGTCAGAGGGAGTTTGGTTTTTTGAAGTAAGCTAAAGCAACCGTAAGGCCGGGTGCACAAGAGAGGCACAGCCTCAGCCATCCGGAAGCTCCACGCTCCCTGGTCTTCAGACTCACGGAGCACAGAGAATAAACACCTGTTCTCCCAGTCAAGGCCACAGAGACTTAGTCCTCCCCCCTTTCGGTGAGATAGCGTCCCTGGGGATCAGAGCCCTACTCTGATGGTGAACTAATGTGGCTTCCTCCAGCTGGAGCTCCTTTCCTGTGCGCCTGAATCTTATGTCTCTCCTGGGAGGCTGGGCCATCAGGAGGCAGAGACACGCTCTAGCCAACCTGAAGTCCACAGCAGGGCTCTGTCTCAAGAAGACGATACGGGGGCGGGGGAACGCCATGACTCTGTGGCATCATATTTGCCCGAGCACTCAGAGAGGAAAGAACGGGCAGGAAAGAGCTTTCTTACCTCGCATTTTCTTCTTCCCCAGCTCCTCAGACCAGTAGGGGCCAAGAAGAGTGTGGGTGGACCCTGAAAGAAGTGAGAAGCTCTGAGAGCAGGTGTGATGTCTCTAAATGTAGCCACAGTTACAACCAGTCACCCAGTTTGACGAAACCTTAGATCCGACGTCAAGGCGGCCACAGCACAGTGTGGAGTGAGGTAAGGGAGTGAGGCCTCTGAATGAGCTTTTCCTAAGGACCTGTCAAATCTGTCTCGCTCTCTCTGAACCTGCGCTGACGACAGGATTATTTTTTGTTTGTTTCTTTGTGTTTTCTCTTTTGAGATAGTCTCAGGTAGTCCAGGCTATCCTGCAACTAGCTGAGGCTAATCTTGAACTTCTTTTCCTTGTGCCATAGCCTCCCAAGTGCTGCTACCTTGTCATGTGTACCACCATGCCAGGCAGGACAGTGGGTTTCAACGCTAGTCCGCCAGCTCGTTGTCAAAACAAGGCCTTCACGGGAAGGTGTCTACATCTTTCAGGGAACATGAGTCCATCCTCCTGCTGTGTAAATGGCAGGAAAAGAGGAAACTGAGATAACAGGCAACCGTCCAGGGCTTTGGAGACCCAAAGCACATTCTTTTTAACTGGAGGAGTTTTTTTTATTTACTTGTGTTTTGGTTTCTGCAGTACTGGGATCCAATATGGCACTCAGGACCTCTACTAACTAGATTTTCTTGAGTTTGTTGTTGTTGTTGTTTGGGTTATCTAGTTTTGTTTTTAATGTAATTTAACCTAGAACTAGAACTAGATCAGAGATTGCATGTGAAAATGAAGAATCCCAGCACACGGGAGGTAGAGGCAGATGGATCAGAAGCAGGTGTGGGGGGGGTAGGCTATGCTCATGCATGCACATGCACTACCCAGAATCCTCTCATATAGGGAGAAGCTCCCGAGTCTTCAGCTGTGCTTGTGTGCTGAGCTTTGGACTCCTATGTTTTGTTCCTCACTAAGGACTCAGTGAGCAATCCTGGCTCTTGGCATCTGGAGCCTCTGCCCGTCTCGTTTCAACCCTGACCCTGCTTCCCTGGCAGGCCCCTCCATCGAGCACCCCACCCTTGGCTACCTAGACCACTGTCCTCAAGGAGAATGAAAATAGGAGGCACCCATTTCTCCCCATCTTTGGTGCCTCCCCTCTGCTTTAGGATAGCACAAGGTCTGCAAAGGTTGGCTCAGGGATCTAGGCACATTGTTAGTGAAGGTCCCTCGAAGGGTACTTTGTAGCCCTTCCCCTTGTCTCAGTGAGCAGAGAGCATAGGGAATAACTTAGCAGCCTAGGACTCCACTTGGCCTGAGCTATGCACACACCTCTCTCTGAACAATGTACCTAGCAATCTATTAACAGATTGGGAACCTCCCCAACCCCCAGCTCCTCAGAGCTGCAGGTGTATCTGCTATAAACAATGGGAATAAGTTAAATAAACTATGCCCCTTAAGACTCCCTTGATAACATCCTATTTCTATCCAAATAAATCCTGGAGCACAATCTGAGAACCACGCCATGGTCAATGAGCCAGTCCAACCTAGACTAGTTTTGGGCACATGTACAATAAGGCAAACTGTCCGAAAAGTGAATTTTTAGGGAGTATCCCTTATTTACCATCTTATGCCTATACATAATTGGGTGTGTATATGATTAAAATCAGATGCACTATTGCAAGCCGTGTGCTCAGGAAGAAAGGGCTTACATAACCCATATACCTGCCAAGCAAAACAGAAAATCTCCCCAAATTACGTTCTTAGAAACCAAACTCCTCTTTTTCCTGAACCCCATAAAAGATGATGTTAGGGACTGGAGAAATGGCTCAACAGTTAAGAGCATTTAGTGTTCTTATGGAAGACTGAGTTCCGGTCCTAGCACCCACACTGATTACAGCTCACAACCCCTGGACACTCCAGCGGCAAGTGTCACAGCGCTCTCTACTGGCTGCTGGTAGGTACTGCACATGCAAGAGCACAGACAGAAAGGCAGACATACATATTCATACATATTCCAAAAAATAATTGGCCCCCTCAGTGTATTTACTCATATAGCTCACTATCTTGACACTGTGCCCTTTCCTGATCTGTACTATTGCTTTAAAGAAACCTCCCTCACTGTTTTGCATTTATTTCAATTCTTTGAGTAAGACTACAAGCACCCGGTTATACCCAGCCCAGACTCTGACCACAAGTAACTTCAAGGGAAGAGTACCTGTGACAGGGTCTTCAGCCACACCAACCCACGGCGCAAAGTATCTGGAGTAGAAGTCATACGGGGCTGTCTGCCCCCCAGACTCTCCTTTGAGGGTGAGGATGAGGCCTCTCACCTTCCCTGTCTTCTCTATTCCAGGCAGAGGCTCTGTGTTCACCTTTAGGCTCTCTAGAAAGGACCTTGAGCACAAAAGGATGGGTTAGGAATGAGCATCTCCACACCACCCACACACACACTGGGGAAGAGGCTGGACTGAGCCCAGATGGCTGAGCAGAGGGGAGGGAGAGCCTGCCCTGACATTTACCCTCGGGAAAGAGTGTGGTTGGGCCAAGCATGGCAGTGGGGGATGCCACTAATCCCTAGCACCTCTGGTGGCAGAGGCAGGTGTACCTTTGAGAGTTTGAGGCCAGCCTGATCTACAGAGTGAGTTCCAGGCCAGCCTGAGCTACAGAGAAGAAGAAAGAGGAAGGTGAGCTGTGCTTGGAGACAGCACAGCCTGACCAAAGCAGATTTGGAAGTCTGGGCGCTGGTGTGAAAATGGTTAAATGTGGCCCGGTGGTGGTGGCGCACGCTTTTAATCCCAGCACTTGGGAGGCAGAGGCAGGTGGATTTCTGAGTTTGAGGCCAGCCTGGTCTACAGAGTGAGTTCCAGGACAGCCAGGGCTACACAGAGAAACCCTGCCTCAAAAAAAAAAAAAAAAAAAAAAAAAAAAAAACATAAAGAAAGAAAAAAAAGAAAATGGTTAAATGTGTTTACCTGTCATAAGAATCGCTGAGCCGGACCAGGAGGTTTTTGGTATCTGGTGAGTACCGGATGTCCTGGACTATAGTGTCACCTATGGCTGCCTGTGAAGCAAACCAAAACTCCTTAAAGGGGCCAGCTCTTCCTCAGTTCCTCAGTTGGATCTTTTTCTAGCATGCCAGAAGCCCTGGGTCAATCCCCAGCACCACATTAACTGGGCATAGTGATAAGAGAAAGGCAGAGAGGTCAGGGGTTGGGGGTCAGCCTCAGCTAGTAGAAAACGTGAAGCCAGGCTGGGATGCCTGAGATTCCGCCTCAAAACAAATCACAGAACAAGAGAGCTGGGTGCCCTCATTTGACACCAGCACGTGGGAAGCAGAGGCAGGAGGCGCTTTGTGAACTCAAGGCCTATATTGTATATATAGTGAGGTCGAGGCCAACCAGGGCTACACAGTGATATCCTCAACAACAGCAACACACCTCCTCAGAGGTGTGCTTCAGTCCCTTCGTGTCCCCACGTATGAGGGACAATCTCTTATCCAGTATGTGTTGTAAACCAGGTACCCCATTGTCCCCAGGTCCTGTGAGGCTCCTTCAGTTCCAGGACACAAGATATGGCTTAAACACAGCTAGCTTCCTGGCCAACAGAAGGGCCATTCAGGGGGGCATGTCCTGAAGAAGGCCCTGTTCACCAGTGCTCAGAAGGTGTCCCAACACAGCTCCATCGGTCAGGTCCACAGGACCCCAGCTCCCCCCACTCCCTATTCTCCCCTCCTTCCCTCCCTAATCCCCCTCCCTCCCCTCTTTCCCCCCTCTTTTGATTTCTGTCTGCCTCTCTCAAGTCTGAGTCACTCTAGAATCAAGTCTGAACCCATGTGTCAATTGTCTTTCAAGGTGGAAGCCTCTCGCTCACCTCAGTGAGGTGGGAAAAGTCAATGGAATAGCTGCATGCGAACCCACAGCTGGGACACAACAGATCTGCTCCGTATGCCAAGACCCAGGGCTGGGCCTGTAATTAACAAATGGCTTACCATGCTCTGCTCAGCAAGCACACTATCTTATTGATTGGAAATTCAACACTTCATGGTCCAAAGGGACCAAGGATGCCTGATATCTTCCTCACCTCCTCCTTCTTACCTCCCACCCCCACCACAGCCCAAACTATCTTACTTCTGCCCCACCATGGAGATTATGTTGCTCATAGTTAAATGAGTCAGGTATAATTGTTTTTCTGCTTTTTGTTTGTTTGGTTGTTTTTTGTTGTTGTTGGGGTTTTTTTTGTTTTTTTGTTTTTTGTTTGTTTGTTTGTTTGTTTCGAGACAGGGTTTCTCTGTGTAGCCCTGGCTGTCCTAGAACTCACTCTGTAGACCAGGCTGGCCTCGAACTCAGAAATCTGCCTGCCTCTGCCTCCCAAGTCCTGGAATTAAAGGCGTGCGCCACCATTGCCCGGCGAGTCAGGTATAATTGTATAACTTGTAATCCTAGAACTTGAGAGGCAAAAAGAGGCAAGGTCAAGGCTAGCCTGGGCTACACAGTGAGGAAAGAAAGATTACAAACAACCCAATGAAAGCGATCAACCTTACTAAATAAACACAATACTACATTCTGACCTGGAATCGCCTAGGCTTCCACAGCAGGGCGACCACTGGGCGGGGCTATTTTATGGGATCATGTCACACCTGAGCTTCCAAACACAAACAACCACACCACATCACACCGGCTCAAGCAAATTTCTTTCACAAACCTTTATCAAGTCTTCCACTTCATGGACGTCCTAGAAGGGGAACAGAGATAAAGTCATTGCTGAACAGGAGAGGTGGGGACTAAACGCGGTCTGTGACATTACTGCACATGTCATCATTCTGTGAGAGTGATGAGGAGCTAACCTGGGCGAAGGTTGGGTAGAGAGGAAAGTCCAGGACAATCCCATCTTCTGCTCTTCTGGCCTTTAGTTCCCCGCTCAGAGTGACAAAGGTCAGGGTGCTGTTCGTGTTCTCTGGACAGAGGAGAGTCAGTAATCAGGAAAGTAAGTGTGATTGTGTTTTCTGGGGGTTCATTGCTGTTTGTCTGTTGTATAATGGTCATATAATATATAGTGTGTGTGTCTGCGTGTGTCTGTGTGTGTGTGTGTGTGTGTGTTACTGTGGAATGAACCCAGAGGGTCACACATGCAAGTACCTCCCACTAAGATATCCCCCAGTTCTCCTAGCACTTTTACCTTTGACTAGTGTCTCTCTGACCAGTGGGCTAGCCTTGAGTCCTCGCTGTGGCCCAGGAAGTCTGTGAAGTTTTAATCCTCTCTTCTCAGCCTCCTGAACAACTGGGAATTTGGGACAATTTCACCAACCTAAACTTGTCCTCAATCTCCTTCTGTACCCTCACACACAAAATCCTTTTCTGATCATGATCAGATTTTATGACCGGAAAGTAAGACGTCCCCCCAATACTTGGTCCTTGGCTAGTTGTACTGTTTTGGGGAAAGAGGCACAGTTAACTGGATCACCGGTGAAAGGTCTCACATGGGAGTTTTTAAGAGGGGCGCTAAGACAGATTGTTTGGGAGTTAGGAGTTGATTAAAAGAATTGTTAACACTGCAAGCAGACAGACAGACAACAGGGTGTGTCCTGAGCAGAGTTAAGGCTCCAGCACCAAAGACATGGTGAGGTTCCGAAGAGAGAAACTCAGTGTCAACATAGCAGAAGTGTGTGGGGGGGGTCTCCTCCTTTCTGAGTTTTGGGGTGGTTTCATAGCACAAGCCTTCCCAGGAAGGCGCCAGGCAAAGGGTATGGGACAGGATGTATGGCCATCAAGACCTCACTTGGTATAAAACCACTCCCCTAGGTGAGAGCTCCTGACACTGGAAGTCTGCTACTTAGGAACAGTGTCTCAGTAGGGTGCCTGTCAGTGTCTTGGGAGGGAAAGACTTCTGTACCATACTGTGGTCTGAGCAGTGGCTACATTCTAACACCCCATCCTTACAAAGGGCCAGGGGCCAGCATCCAGGCCAGGGTTATTGCTTCCTCTCTAATTTCAGTGTTGCTTGTGCAAGCTCTTAAAACCATGGACCATGCCACCATGGCCACCACCTTATATATTATTTCGGGGGAGGGGGGATGGGATAAAGTCAGAACTTGTCAGACGATGGGATGAAGTCATCAGGGAGCTAAACAGTCAGTGTTGTACAAGGTGAACATGGGTTATCTCCAGAGCATCCCAGACAGAGCGCACAGTAGCCTCGGGATTGACAACTGCAGCCCAGCGGGAAGAGTTGGGTCCCTGGGATCCGAAGCCACAGCTCCCCCAAGGCCCTTACCACCTCCAGGCTATTACCAGCTCTGCCAACCATATTCCAGGATTTACAGAAGGAGCTGCTTTCCATAAAACAGAGGCTCCACATATCAGAGCCTCAGGGAGAGCCTTGGATCAGTCCAGCCTTCAACAATAATTCCTGCCCCCAAAGTAATTGTTTCTAGTTGCTGTTTGAGGAGCTGGGTGTGGTGGCTCGCAGCTATAATTTAAGCACCAGGAGACAGAGATCGGAAGACTGAAAGTCCTAGTCCCAAGGCCCAAGTACCAAGTTCCAGGCCAAACAGAGTTAGGTAGGAAGAACCTGTTTTTTAGAAAAGGTGGGGGATGTGGCTCAGTTGGTAGAGTGCTTGTCTAACATGCACGGAGCTGGGGGTTCGATCCCCAGCACTGCATAAAAGGCGTGTGTTTCTGAAAGCCTGTAATTTCAAGACTTGGGTGTGAAGGCACTAAGAGCAGAAGTTCAAGGTGTATAAGGGGTTCAAGGTCAACCTGGAATAGGAGACCCAATCTCAAAAAAAAAAAAGTATGACTTTAAGATCTACTAAAGCCTAGGTAGCTGAGCCTGCCTGTCTAGCCAGCCATTGTGAGCTGTTGTTACTAATGTTACAAGGAAACGTTCTCATGTGTTGTTACTAGGAAACTGTCATGCCCGAGTTGATTGCATAGTCTGTTATGCTCTGTGCTTTGGTGTTCTTGGAAGCCAGGTACAATAGAAGTCACTTAAACCTGCTTTGTATATTTAGCCACAATAAGCTTGGACCCAAACCAACCACCCGCCAGTACTTCCTGCACCTGTGTATGATAAGCTGCCCGGGATGGACCCCAACATAAGAGAGATACCAAGAGAAGAAGCCATTTGGAATGGACTTCCATTTTGAGTAGTAAAATTTAAGTTCCCAAGACCTCCCTGGGAGCTGACATCCTACTTGGCAGAAACAAACATCTACGTGGACAACTGACATCCTGTTGGGACATGAATCTTAAGCAAGGCAAGTCCTCAGCCATAGTTGATTACCCGAACCAACAAGGACAGGATAAATATACAACAAAGACATGTCCCTAAGGAAATCCCCTATCCCTAAATCCTGATTGGTGAAATAAATTGGCAGAGATATTTGTAGAATTCAGGCTTAAAAGCTCTGTAGGAGGCCGGGCGGTGGTGGCGCACGCCTTTAATCCCAGCACTTGGGAGGCAGAGACAGGCGGATTTCTGAGTTCGAGGCCAGCCTGGTCTACAGAGTGAGTTCCAGGACAGCCAGGACTATGCAGAGAAACCCTGTCTCGAAAAACCAAAAAAAAAAAAAAAAAAAACTAGGTCTGTAGGATCCTGGCTTGAGGTCATAATCAGCTAAATCAGTTTTTGGGTTTTTTTTTTTTTTTTTTTAAGATTTATTTTATGTATATGAGTACACTGTTGCTATCCTCAGACAGACCAGAAGAGGGCATCAGATCCCATTACAGATGATTGTGAGCCACCATGTGGTTGCTGGGAATTGAACTCAGGACCTCTGGTAGAGCAGTCAGTGCTCTTAACCGCTGAGCCATCTCTCCAGCCCCAGCTAAATCAGTTTTACAGCCTTTGGCCGATCGATCAGTCCTGGGATGAATGCGCAATAAACTATGCCTGGCTGGCTGAGATCAGAGTTCGAGTGGTTTGTGGGGTGTGACACCTGGATCCCAACAAGATCAGTAGAACACTATGTGGAGAACAGCATGCTTTTTTCCAGATGTTACACTATATGCCAAGTCCATTCTGGCCATGCAAATCCCTCTGCCACATGTAAAGAAATTAAGTTTTTAAAAGAAATTCACATTAATAAGTCATAGTGGTGTATGCTAGAATTGTAATGCTTGTAGGAGCCAGGATTTCAAGGCCACCGTCACCTACACAGGAAACTCAATGCCAGCCTCAGCCCAGTGAGACTCTATCACAAAACAAACAACAATAAAGAAACAAATAAGCAAAGTCCACCTTACTTCTTTTGTGAAACAGCACAGCCGCAGAAGCCAGGGTGGCGTGGCCACACAGGGGGAACTCAGTCTCTGGGGTAAACCACCTCAGCCCAAAACGGGAACCTTAGGAGGAGGAAAGATCAAAGAAGAGCAAGATCAAACCCACACGGTCAGGTTAGAAACACTTCAGCATCCTCTCCCCTAAATCATTAGTGTGACTAACAGGAAATACCTTCCTTAGAGGGGGGAGCATGAGGTAGAGATTCTGCTCCCTCCTGGGAAAGGTCTCAAGGAGTTTGAGCCCCGGGATCCAACATGGCGGAAGAAAAGCCCCAACTCCTACAAGCTGTCCTTCTACTTCACTCACACACTGTGGCATGTGCATAGATAAACACACTCAACATACACACACACATAAACACACACATACACACACAACATACACACATACACACACACATACACACACACATACACACATATACACACACATACACACATATACACACACATACACACACACATACACACATACACACACATACACACACATACACACACATACACACATACACACAACATACACACACACATACACACATATACACACACACATACACACACACATGCACACACACATACACACACATACACACACACATGCACACACACATACACACACACAAATAAATGTAAAACAGAAACTTTAAATGTATATTTACCTTGTGTGAAGTCGTCAGTTGGTTGCAGTTTTCGGATGAAAGCGGTTTCGGAGAGGTTCATTTCCCTCGCAATGTGCTGATGAGTGTCTTCATCCAATGTCTTAAATAGAAAAAAAAATAGTCATTGAGAGTCTGAAAACACAGATCTAACTTAACATAGCAGCTTATCAGCATCAAAAGTCGAATGCTTAGACGAGGTATAGCAGTGCACATCTTTAATCCCAGCATGTGGGAGGCAGAGGCGGGTAGATCTCTGTGAGTTAGAGACCAGCCTGGTCCACAGAGTGAGTTCCAGGACAGCTAACTCTACACAGTGAGACTATGTATTAAGAGAGAGAGAGACAGAGACAGAGACAGAGATAAAGAGACAGAGAGATGTTTGTGGTAATTTGAATGTAATTGCTCCCCAAAGGTCCATAGGGAGTGGTACTATTAGGAGGTGTGGCCTTATTGGAGGAAGTGTGTCACTATGGGGGCGGGCTTTGAGATCGCCTATGCTCAGGCTATGCCCAGTATAACTCAGTCTCCTGCTGCCTTTGGATCAAGATGTAGAACTCTCAGCTCCTTCTCTAGCACCATGTCTGCCTGCACACCACCATGTCCTGCCATGATGATAATGGACTCTGAAACTGTAAGCCAGCCTCAATTAAAAAGACCTTTCCTCAAAAAGGTTGTTGTGGTCATGGTATCTCTTCACAGCAATAGAAACCCTAACTAAGACATGGCTTAAAAGGAAATTCAAGTTATGTGGTAAATAATTAAAGACTGTGTGTATGTTTGTATGTGCATGTGTATTTTGTTTGTTTTTCTTTTTATGGTTTTTGGTTTCTTATTATTCTGTGGGTTGCATTAGAGTTGCTTACAGGAACATGATACATCCTGTATCCTAGTACTGAAGATGAAGGCAGGTGGATCATGAGTTCACAGGCATTCTCAGCCATATAGTAAAATTTAAGGCTGGCCTGGGCTACATGAGACCTTGTCTCCAAAACAAAATGATTGACAGATAAGATAGAAAGGGTTGAAGAGATAGCTTAGCAGTTAAGAGCATGATCTGTTCTTCCAAAGGTCCTGAGTTCAATTCCCAGCAACCACATGGTGCCTCACAACCATCTGTAATGGGATCCAATATCCTCTTCTGGTGTGTCTGAAGAGAGTGACAGTGTATTCACGTACATAAAATAAATATATTTAAAAAGATAGAATAGATAGATAGATAGATAGATAGATGATAGATAGATAGATAGATCAATACATGATTGATAGATAGTAGAAAGAAGATTGATAGATATTGATAGATAGTAGATAATAGGCAGTAGATAGATGATAGACAAATGATTGATATATAGTAAATAGACAGATAATATATGGCAAATGGATAGACAGACAGACAGACAGACAGATGGTGGATAGACAGAATATTAGCTTTTCATTATGAGTGGCTCAAAACCCAGGCTTTAACCTAACGCTCTATATACTGCCTGGCCATCACAAGCTCTTTATTATCCCAACAACACTTTCCAGAAAGGAAAGGCGCAGCAAGTAGAGAAACATGGGCCACCGTAAGGCTTCTAAGGGAGCACCAGGGAGCGCTGAGCGGGAACCATCCCTGAAGGAGTCGGATGCAGTCATAGGCCCTTCCCCTGACCTGCTCAGGTTGTTCTCCCAAGCAAGACGTCAGGGGAATCCTAGTGCACATTAAATAATCTGAGACATCCTGTTGTGTAAGCCATGGCCCTGTGTGCAAGGGAGTCACGACAACACCCACAGGACGCAACAGTGACCCACGTCACTGAGCAGACCACTGAGGCAGGCAGGGTTGGTTTGTTTGGGGGTCGAGATGCTGGAGGCTGAATCCAGGTGTCACCCACATTCCAAATGTCTTCTGCATTAAGCTTTATCTGTAGCCCTGAGATAGAAGATTTTAGCAAGAAGTACTATGGGCTTTAAAGATGCTCACAACCAGCCAGGTGTGGTAGCATATGCCTTTGATTCCAGCACTTGGGAGGCAGAAACAGGCAGATTTCTGCGAGTTTAAGGCCAGCCTGATCTACAAAGTGAGTCTAGAACAGCCAGGGCTCTGTTACACAGAAAGATCCTGTCCTGAAAAAGCCCCCCCCCCAAAAATAAAAATACAAATAAAAAGATGCTCACAACCACCTGTAAGTGCAGTTTCAGGGGATCTAGTGCCGCCTCCTAGCCCATGCCAGCATCAGGAATATACATGGTACACACACGTACATGCAGGCAAACATTCATACACATGAAAGAAAAATAAAGGGCTGGAGAGATGGCTCAGCGGTTAAGAGCACCGACTGCTCTTCCTGAGGTCATGAGTTCAATTCCCAGCAACCACATGGTGGCTCACAACCATCTGTAACAGGATCTGATGCCCTCTTCTGCTGTGCCTGAAGACAGTGACAATATATATATATCTTTAAAAAAGAAAGAAAAATAAATCTTTGAATATATGTATTTATTGATAAGGTGTTTTGCTGGATTTGGACATAAAGTCAGGTTTTGGTGAGGTAGACAGGAGAATGTGATCAGAGGCTTTTTTTTTTTTTTTTTTT